GGTTTGGGGGTGTATGGGGGGTATTGGGGTCCGGTATGGGGGTGTTGGTGGGGTTATTAGGGGTTGTGGACCCTTGTTTTTTGTTTTTTTTTTGGGCGGGGCGCCGACACCCGATCGGTAGGTGCCGACCAGCCGAACAGTCGAGGCCGTCGACCACCGGGGTACGCAACACTTAACAACAAAAATAAAAATAAAAGTAATTGGCAATCTGACATTACAAATGCTCTATCCTATACCTTTCTCGGCCTTTTGGCTAAGATCAAGTGTAGTATCTGTTCTGATCAGTTTAATATCTGATCCGTGGTCCATTGGGCCATTTAAAAATAAAAAAAACAAATGCTCTATCCTAGCCTATATATGAAATCCGTAGCAGGGGATAAGAAAAAGGCCACTTAGGTCGCACGCTTGTAACCAAGAGTTCTAGCAGTATAGTTCATCATAGATTTCTGTTGCAAGACCCTGAGTGAACCATGGCCCTAAGAAAAGGCCTCACCCAGGTTTGGAAAGCACGGCGATCCTCAGGAAAGGCCGCCACCTGCATCCTCACCAGGTAGTTGACGTGCGGAGCTGCTGGCATGGACATAATTTCCACAGGCTATTTTCCAGGTATAGATGCAAATTGGGGCAGCAGGATTGGGTATAAAGGGGAATCCCATCTCTGAACAGAGGACAGATGCAATTTACAGATACCAACTTTGGCCAACCTTGGGGGTCAACGGTCAAATCTTTTTCTTCACCCACTGGACCAGGCTCGCGCGTACAGCGAGCGTACTTTGCTAGCATGGCCTGCACAACACAGAGGTGCTATACAAGGGCCGTAGTGAAAACGACTGGAAAACAAAATCAGTATAGTGAAAGTTTACACATTTCTATAAGAATACGTATACCTGAAGGTATAGACATATGCCTACGAGTATAGACATGTATACAAAAGTATGAAGTTACTACAAACAGGTATAGAAAACGATCAATACGTATGTAAATTGACATAGACGTAGGTATGGACAAATCACAGACACAGGTATAGATACGGAGGAAGATCTAGGTATAGACATAGCTATAAGTATATGTGTACAGGTTTAGTACCCTATAGATCTATTAGTATACGTCTCTATGTATATATTGTCACACTGTGAATCACTCTAAGTATATATGTACAGGTATAGACATAGGTGTAGGTGCAGATCTGTACGTATAGGTCATCATAGAGATAGGTATAGGCGCAGAACTGTGTGTATAGCTCATCATAGACTTCTCCAATACTATAAGAATCGCTAACGTCATATCTACCGGCCCAGGTTGCGGCCCGGTCACCACCCGCGGACGGCCGAGATCGCAGGCCGATGAGAAACTTTTC